ACATGGAATCAGAGCTTTGCGTTAGGGAGATACATTTCTTAGTTTACAAAAATTATGCAAAAATTTCGTGACTGTAAATTTTAATATCACATCCGCACTTTAATGTCTGTACATAATCACTGGCTACTGGGCTGGTCATAAAATCGCTGACAAACAATACATCTGTAGAGGTATCGACATAGTTTTAGTAATAACACTATCGGTACTAATTTGACTGCCCGTGATGCGCAATTGTAGTAGAAAGCAATTAACGACAAGAACTGGATAATAAGCTTATACGTATAGACAGGTACACGGCGGAATAAAACGTGAGTGAGATGCCCTCTTTTAATAACATATGACAATAGTGTAACAGTTAGAAAATTAGAACAGACTGCAACCGTCAATAGGAAAAGGGTTATCTGATATCTACTAGCACAAAAAAAAGTAACAAAAGATATATAAAAACAAAGTTCAGGCCAGTCAAGACCTTGTGCAATGACGAAATATAATTAATGACATGATGCAGGACTAACAACTGGATATAAAATACACATGCTTAGATATGGATAAAACTATCAAACATTACACCAATGTTAGTGCCGATATTCAAAGACCATACTGTAATTTGATAACCTTGAATGATAGATTTATTCTAAAGAAAAGTGAGTTTACATTTAACGGATCTTAATTTGCAAGCTCTAAGATCATCGCCATATATACGGTTTGTTATAAAATTTCTACAGGAACAGACAAACTTTGAAACAAAACCATTTTTCATCCATCTTTGAAAATGTATTAAACGTCCGATACTTTTATTTACCTTACTGTAAAGTGTGATTTATGTATAAGCTATTTCGAAAGTCTAGGCGTTTCTGTTCTGAACTGGAGCATTGAGGAATATACTAAGTATAACACTGAAGTTTCACAGAAATATTGTTTTATTAATTTTTATAGAAAAAATAGTTACATTGCCTGATTTTTTTAGAGAGGGTAATGGATAAGGAACAACCGAAATGGTTTGAATTACTACCACAAAAACAACTTATGTTAATAGATAACTGTATTCATCCATTTTTGATTGATTTGATTTAATTAAGATTGCTTTGTACCCATAGCAAGTGCTTATTCTCTATCTTTAAATGAGGCAGTTTTTATTGGAATGACAAAAATGAAGGTTTGTGAAGTGGAAGAAAACCATTTATATAAGGATAACATTTAAGTCTATATATTGCAATTATAAATTATTCAATCTTGAGGTCAGCATAAAGCCTATATTCATTGCATGTCCCAATGTCTATTTACAAAACTGTGTATCTTTATTTGGTTTACGTGAAGCAATAATTTGATTTATTGTGCAACAATTGTGTTTGGTATGAAAGAATTACTATGTGCAATGATGTGTGTATGTTGGAATAACATAAATGTTCAATTTATCATCTTAACGTTGTTTTGTACAAAAGAGGATTCTTAAATGAATATATCAATATAAAATGCACGATTGTTTTCGTGTAGATGATTATATTTGTACTGCTATCTTTTTATTAAACATTTCATCGTACTCCAAATGCAAACACAAAACATAAAGCTTCAACAGATACTTAAAGCATGACAGTTGACTATAATAACGGAATAATTCAGTAAAGTCTTATTTATATGTTGATTTTTATAAATCTGAAGTATTCCTAAATTCACATTAGACAAAGAAAACAAATATATGAAATATGGAACATTTAAATCAAAGATGCAATGCTGATGTTTTAATTTGCTGATGATTGTAAAGCTCGTTGTTTTACTTTGTGTTTATGTAAACCTTTAATTTTAAGAGATTCAAGACCCAGATTCACTGCGTTGGTATTTTCGTAAACATGTTGGTTTTCCTTTGTCCTCCCTAAAAAAACAACAAAAGTTCCCCTTTGAAAGGGGTTATCTAACTCTCTATGGAACATAGAAAAAATAGATAGTCTGCAGAATATAAAAGAATATAAAAGTTATTATACACGTATCATGAACATAACAGAGAAGAGATTACCAGAAGTAAACAGTCGAAGACAATTTTGTTGAAGTCTGAATTTGAATGTAAATCATATTAATGAGGAATTATCTTTATTTTTATTTATAGTTCAAATCAATGAATTAGAAATTTGAGTTACAACTAAATTTTAATTCATAGCCAATATATTAGTCCAGCTGTATACATCAAATACTACTTCATTAATCCAAGAAAATGTTCAAATAAAATGCCTTCAAAAGTTTAAAATATATTCAAAACTTTTTTTTCATTTTGTCGAAATATTGGAAATTACTACTATAGATTCAGATATTATGCGTGCATTTATTATTGAGTTTTTTGAGGATGAAAAAAAATGCGAATTTGATTTTTGCGATGTCAGGAGAATCTGCATTCAGATATAAGTATCAGTTTTCAGAATGCGAATTCTTATTATTGCGATACTCAACCAGTCGCAGTTATTCGCATTAATAAAAACCTCGCAATAATTTCTGAATTTATAGTATTCTCCCCAACTGCAGATCCAGTAATGTTAGTTTTGGTAAACGTATTAGCTAAATATTTAGGATATTTTTATTCTTAAAACTTTGTTTTTTTTCTTGCATGGCCTTGACAATTTTTTTTAAAGAAATTTGAAGTTTTTAATATTCTCATAATAATATTAACGGGACCAATTTTACTGCACAAGGAAACTTCAACTTTTTAAGATATTTTTTTTGCTTCAAAATTCAACTTAGTTCGTTTCCATCACAAATCCTGTCAAGCTGATAAATGTGCTCCAGGGCAGTTGTAATTCATAGAAACTCTATGTTTTGAACTGTAAATATACCAAAACAATAGGATAATCCTTTACTTAGAACATGATTTTCATTTATTCTTCGCAACTAAGAAACATCAAATCCTACAATTCCAATTGGTCGAGAGCACTTTGCTATATTCTAATATAATGTTAAGAACAACCAAACAGTAAAACACATCAAGGGCAAATATTATGTTTAGTGTTTGACAATCATATATGTTTTTGCTTATTAACGATCTGGATATATATATATATTTGCATTTATCTTTGTTATCTTTCAAATAAATTCATAGAAAGTTGTATTTTTAATGTTGTTTGGCGGTACCTTTGAAATTCTCTGAATAAGTGTTAAGAGTAGAATTGGAAGTTAAACACGGAGATAATTGAAAGGAGCACAGTGAAGGAATAACAGCGTGACAGAGCTAGTGTGGGTAGCAATGTAGTAAAATTTATTATAAGATAATAAAGTGAACTGCCAAAATCGGAGCAGAAACTGGGTACCTTTCCAGAGTACCTTATATTACCCCCATTATTGGTAGAGTTCGTTTATTAAACCTTTTCTGTTCTATGTTGTTTTTTTGTTACTGTTGTTAGAATATTTGTCGTGTATTTTGGCTATGATGTTGTCGGTTTTGAACTTATACTTTTGATTGTCCCCTTGGTATTTATGTATATTATTTGATGGTATGATACTAAACCCCTAACGAGAGGGATTGTGCTTGATTTTCATATGATGAAGACGTAATATTTCAATCAGTTTAGTTGAGGTCTGGAGCTGGCATGTCAGTAACTGCTAGTAGTCATTTGTTAATTCATGTTAATAATTGTCATTTTGCTTAGTTTCTTCTGTAACCGATATTCTGACATCGGATTCAGACTCCTTGGGCTGATTTCTGCTCTTTGGTCAGATTGCTGTCTCTTTGACACCATCCCCGTTTCAATTCTAAATTTTATCTCTCTATTTCTTAAAGATATGAATTTAGAATTTTTAATTAATACATTTATACATTACATAATATTGTAAACGGGTAATCATTGAACAACTGTTGATCAAAACACGCATGTAACAGAGGTTTGTTTTCTATATCTCTATTAACTTTTTTTACAAGATACATCTTGTAAATGAGCATAAATGGTGCAAGCATATTGACAATATACCTTCTACAAATGAATGAATAAGATATGCCATAGTTGATAACATTTTGTTACTGAACCAGCGTGCTTTTTTTACTGACAACTACACAGGCAATTTTTTCCAACGTGATTTTAACATGGGAATCACGTGATATTCACGTTGTCCACACCACGTGAGTACAAGGTGAAACGAGCAGAAACGTAATATTCACGTTGTGAGCACAACGTGAAATAAACGTTTGTCACACGTGATATTCACGTTGTATATAAATCCACATAATATCAACGTGATAATACAACGTGATATTCACGTTTAATATAAAGCCATGTGATATAAACGTGATAATACAACAAGACTTCTATGTGAAGCAGCCACTAGGAAAAATGAAATATTGTCTTTGTTGCTCTCATTGACATATCATTTTTTGTTCTTGGTCATCTCTATTTGAAGATGTTTCTCTGGTTCTTTATGGTAAAAGTACTGTAAAAGTGAGTTATACATCAATAAATTGTCTTATATTGATTATCAGTTACCTCATATGCATGTTTTATTAACCTGTTATCATCCTGAATATGTATGTAATATTTGTGGCTGGATGTTTAGCATCCATTAAAACTTATATATATATATATATATATATATATATATATATATAGATATATATAAATCCAAATCTTATTTAAACCATGAGACTATTTCTACATGTTTGAAACCTTTCGAATCTTCCTGTTAGTATTTCTTTTTTTGTGTGTTTGAAGTTCTTGCTTTATAATCGCGTTTGTTTGACAATTCATAAAAAATCTAAAAGTATGAATACCAATGTCAAAGTCAGCTACATTTTAAATTTATACAATGTTTGAAAAGAAGTCGAATTCGAAATTGCACAACAAATAATGCAAAACCAAATGTATACCAAACAACAATTCAATACAGACTAGCTATTTTACAATGTTCATTCTACAAGAGTTGTGTCCCTTGCAGGTTTACCATGACAAATCTAAAAATAATCAGCTTATGATTAAAAAATTGTCCCTAACAGAGGCATATGTTACCAAATGTTAAAAAAAACAAAACACTTTACACATTAAATTCAATTATATTTGTATTTAAGAATATTCTAAACAGTTAACATTTGAAAAGTTACTGAAATAGTAACAAATAATATTTGATTGTTCCGTCTTCTAAATGCTCCACTCTTTTGAAAGTTTCTTCATCTGAAAGGATAAAAAAAAGAATTTTATTTACTGTTATAATATTATCTTATTTAAGCATACATAATGAAAGCTTTATTTTACTTCTAATATGAGTGTTGCTTTTGCTTTGTAAACAACAATGTCATAAAATTCTCAATATATCTATAGTTTACAACCCTATTAAACATTATTATTATATACATATGCACTTTCATGGATCTACAATCTGTCATTTCCTGTATCTTGGCATTGCACCAGGTCATGTTTTTCTCTGATTGTTTATGATGTCTTTACACTAAATCCATTGGATGTTGGATGTGTACTGATTGATAATTTATTCTTAGATGCATTTTTTTTTAAAGTTGTTATTGGCTTTGAACTAGCTGTCAGTATCTGCACTCTCAGATTTGTACTAAGTGTCTTTTTGTTGTTGGGATGTACAAGTACCCATCCACGTCCACTCTGTGTTTTTGTTGTATGTATTTCTATTTGTATCCATCTGTTGAGTTCAGCCTTTTTCAACTGATTTTTTTAGTTCGTTCTAATGTTGTGCTGTTACACTGCTGTCCCAGATTAGGGGAGGGTTGAGATCCCTCCCAACATGTTTAACCCTGCCACATTCTGTATGTATGTGCCTGTCCCAAGTCAGGAGCCTGTAGTTAAGTGGTTGTTTGTTGTTACATATTTGTTTTTTTCGTTAATTTTTTTATACATTAATCAGGCCGTTAGTTTTCTCGTTTGAATTGTTTTACATTTGTGATTTATAGCTGACTATGCAGTATGGGCTTTAGTCATTGTTGAAGGCCGTACAGTGACCTATAGCTCTTAATTTCTGTGGCATTTGGTTTCTTGTGGAGGGTTGTCTCATTGGCAATCATACCACATTTTTTTTATATGTATCATAACTAATGTGGTGATTTGCCTGTGTAAAATTGAAATGAAAACTAGACAAAGTGACTCCACTCTGAAGTAACTGTATTATAACAAAGTCAATGTAGGACTTTCTTTGAGATATTATTGTGTCTGGGAGACACAATTGATGCCCCCGCAGATGCAAAGTGTTATTTTAAAATAACTATAACATTTAAACGCTTACACCCAAAAAATGACAAAAGTTCAACTATCTCCCAAAAGAGCAAATATTAATAAAAATCAAAACCCTGACCACATGCACACCTTCAATGTATGTACAAACAGCCAGCAAAGCGAAAAATTCCTAGCATTCAAACTGTAGGAGGAGTTATCTGGAAACGCTCCTCTTATGAAAGAAAATACTCCAAAAATTGACAAAGTTCAACTATCTCCTAAAAGAGCAAATATTAATAAAAATCAAAACCCTGACCACATGCACACCTTCAATATATGTACAAACAGACAGCAAAGTGAAAACTTCCTAGGATTCAAACTGTAGGAGGAGTTATGCGGATTAACTATATACCCATAATGGGACGGACGGACAGGGGTAAAACAATATGCCCCCCAACTTTCAGTTGCGGGGGCATAAAAAAAACATGACTGAATGTACAGGGCCAAATAATCTCCATGGAAATGTGATGTGCCAATACTAATACAACTGAATACCAAATATCATTGGCCCATCACTAAAGGTTCCCCTTAAACTGACAAACATTTTTGGGGCCCTTTATAGATTGCTGTTCGGTGTGAGCCAAGGCTCTGTGTTAAAGACCATACTTTGACCTATAATGGTTTACTTTTACAAATTGTGACTTTGATGGAGATTTGTCTCATTGGCACTCATACCACATCTTCTTACATCTAATCACAAACTTATATGCTAAGTGACTTAAGTATTTCATTGTCCGTATCATTTCACGGTATGTATAAAACTTTTTTCTTTTTTTTTACATTCCTTTTGTTGTGTGATATCTAATAAATTTTGTATATATATATATATATATAAACGCCTAAAAAGTGTACACAACAACACCAATAACAAAAAAAGGAACTATAAATGTAATTATTTATAAATAATTACATTTATAGTTCCTTTTTTTGTTATTGGTGTTGTTGTGTACACTTTTTAGGCGTTTATATAATTTATTTATTGTGTACGTGTATCGTTACTCGTAACGATCCAGCGCCCTCGTGGGAAAAATCGTTGACTATTATTCAGACGTTTTTTTTTTTTTTTTTTTTTTTTTTTTTTTTTTTTTTTTATATATATATATATATATATATATATATTCATTATATCTCAATTTCCCTTAAAATGACCTAATCACAAACTTATACATTGTTGAAACAGCACCCCTAGATCTAGCTTTTTCAAGGCAAGACAAAAATAATGAAAAAGAGAAGACAAAATTTTGTTCTTTATGTTTCTTAATTTTTCAATGTCTGTGTTGTTTTTACTGGTACTGTCTTGTCTATCCTTTTCATTAAAAATTTGCAAATTTCAAAACTTCACATTAGGTCAAGATTTATTGATTAATGGTTAAAAATTTACATTACTGATGCTTGATGAATATGGTGATATCTAAGTGTTAGATTAAGAGTCAATAACCAATCTGCTAGTTGCCTGATGCCTAATAACTTAGTATAACTTGGCAAAGATATTTTTTTGGAATAACACGATAGGTTTCACATGTGGAGCAGGATTAGCTAACCCTTCTGCATTATCTGAGATCACCAAGATTTTTAGTGCCGTTGTGGTGCTCAGTCTTTAGTTTTCTACATTGTGTATGCAGTTGCTTGTCTTTTAGTCGTTTTTTTGTTTTGTTTTATGGCGTTTGTCAGTTTGTAAATCGACCTTTGAGTTTGAATATATCCCATTGGTATCTTCTACCCCTCTCGATTATTAAAATCTACTATTCAAATGTCATTTAATTGCATCAACATGATAATCCATGATGAAGGTTTCATATATTAATAAATAAAAAAAAACTTTAACCAAAGACTGAACTTTAAATATAGCGGACTATACATTATGGATTTTTCTCATTGTTAAAGGCTCTATGGTTGCCCATTATTGCTTACATCCACTTTCTTTGAACTTTGGTGGATAGTTGTCTCATTGGCAATATCATACCTCATCTCCTCATTTTAATATTTCTATTATCACCAGTTTAATTCGCCCTTTCAGAATCTAAATAAATGCATTCTGTTCTGGGTAATATTTTCGAAAGCATACACCAAAACGTTGTGATTGGTTTAAAAAGTTCTAAACAATAGAAATTCAACCAATGAGGTAATGTTATTTTCATTTTGGTGTACGAACAATTAGATTACCCATAATCCTTTAGATTCTGAAAAAGGCGAATTATTTCTTAATTATTCTTCCTTTCATTTTGCTTTGTCTAATTTGTACAATATACAAAAAAGATATTAATGTATTTACTTACATGTTCACCTATCAACAAAAAGGGCTTCCTTTTAAAGTCTGACTTGAATAGTGAAGGTGTAGCCTAGATCTGTTTGACTATGAAGCTGTAAATTAAAAAAAAATAACATCATTATGTCAATATGTGCTTAGGAACAGGATCAAACAAAGCAATAACGAGAAGAAAGGCATACATACATCTGGAAGTCTTAAAAGATTTTTTTTAGATCTCAATCCTTTGAGCCTTCTATTTAAATCTGGGTCAATGAATTAAGAAATACTCAAATAGTTCATAAAATGAAAATAAGCCAAGAAAATGTTTTACTAAGGGCTATCAAAAAGTATAGTATACAGTTTTTATAAACAAAATGAAATTCTAGATATTCCTCAAGGTTCTGAGCATCAGTTTCAGATTACTGTTCAATTTTTATGTCAAAATCTTTTAAGCTATTGTTGCTGTCAACATGGTCAAATCTACAATTACCGGACCCTCATAACTTTATATATTTTAATTTGAATGAGCTGTCAATAAGACAATATATGAATTACTGAAACTCTAATATTCAATTATTATAATATAATTGACAATATATTATTATCTTCTTGAAAAGTAATGTTTGATGAGATTATAATCTTAATTTCAGGCATGCAAGTATAGAAATAACCTGCAGTATGAAGGATTTAATCAATATTTGGTTATGTTTTGTAACATCATTTTTGAACAATAAAGCCAAAAAATGTATACACATATTTGCTGTCTCCTGGCAGAAAGATAGGGTAGATAGATAAAATAATTGTATTTTTTATTTTTATTTTATCTAAATTATTAACATACTATATACAACATGTTCTGAACTTAAATGGTGCTTTACCAAACAAATTTTGACTTTTACCAGTACTTTACAAATAAAAAAGCCAGAAAATATGGAAGTAAATCGAAAAGGAGACAAAAAAAAACAAACTTTATCATATTCTGACCTAAACATCAAACTTTATTTTAGTATACTTGAATAGGAAACATTTCTTGTTTAACTATTAAATTACCTTCAGCTTAATAACTTGATTACAACCAAAATACTACAAACTTCTGTAGCCAAATGTGATTCTCTGAAGCACTGCTAAAGTATCATGTACTTTATCCATCTTATATATATACATGACAGTATATATTTGCCTCAAATTCAGATTTTTCTGGAAAAATAAATATTCAAATAAATGTACATGAACATGAACTTTAGTCCACATATTATGCCTCCTTCTACTGACTGACAAACAAATGTCACATAATCATCTTTAGTAATGTTAATAATATGAACAGTATATACATGTAACATGTTATCATTAAAGATTAACATCATTGCATAGGGATTTTATGCTGAGTGACTTAAATATTTCTTTGTGTGTATGTATAAATCTTTCTTTTTTTCTTTCTTTATTTTACATTCCTTTTGTTGTGTGATATTTAATTAATTTTGTATATATATATTTATTATATCTCGATTATATGGGGCCAACTTGGACGAGTAGTCTAAGTAGTCGAACTTCTGTATCACCAGCCAGCAGCCAGTCAACACTAAGGTTACATGAGTTCAAATCCTGCACGTGGCAAGTGAACTTAACTCCAATCTTAATTGACTAGGATTGTCAGTTTTCCTACCAAAGGTCATGGTTTTCACCAGCTTCCTCCATCAATAAAAACTGGATGCCACAAAATAGCACCATAGTGTTAAAAGTGGCTCTAAACATTAATCATTCAATATCTCAATTATGAGAAAATAAAGACATCAATGAATCAATAAATGTCCATTAGTTTTTTTTTTTTTTATTATTAGCATTAACAGTAGTTTTTTTGGTATAATGATTCCAATTATGCAATCTAATTGTACAGTGTGTTAAAAATTTAATAAACAGCTGCGATAGGACTGCACGATTACAAGCCCTCCAAATTCATATCAAATTTGTTTAAAGTATAAAATGAAATGTTGTAGAATCAAACATGATTTTATAAGTCATTTTTTATTTTTATTTTTTTAAAGGTAACAATGACAAATGAATGAGTTGCATCTGATGTCATGCCAAGTAGTCATATTATATTGGGGTGGTTGTAATTTCCTTAGAATTTCTTTAGAAAGATACTTCATTAAGTAAAATAAATTTTTATATTACGGGTGGTTGGTGTAAAAAAAGACCCTGTTAGATAATTCCTGAATAGCTCCAAGATATATCTATTGTTCATGTTGTTTAGTCACTTCTTAGGTACATTTGTATATGTACCGTATATATAGTTACACATTTAAATGATTATTCGATTCTTATCACCTTTTACATTTGACTTATCAATTTTTGTATGCATTACATAACGTCCTTCAGTTGTCCAGTGGCAAATATTTAATGCTAACATTCAGAACATTTTGTTCTGCAAAGTTACTTAAATATCATATGTAGCATTAATGTACAACAAATTATATCTATTCTTCCTCTGCACATATGTTGCAAGTCAAAAGGCATGTTGTTCTTTTTAAAGCACACTGTTTTATTAAATGCATTACATTTCATAGAATGGAAATAGTGCATACATATCTGTTGGAACTTTGCTGAATTGTCCTGGTAACGTTGAACTGGACATCTCTCCCTGTCATTTTCTTTCTCATGTCTGGAATTTTCAAACAGATCCTCCATACTTCGTTCATGCCCTGCTTATTATCTGTCATATAGAAAAAAGAAATGCATAAATTTTAAGTATTTTTTTTACACATACAGTTATTGTCATAGTCTGTCAAACTTTAAATTGGGAACATTACAGTGAACTACCAAAATTGTGTGGTAAATATTAATAAGTGGAATAATGAAAGGTAATTGCCTGATAATTTACTCAAGTGTCATTCTATGATCATGAACAATCTTGACATATATTTAACTGGTGAAATAAAATGAGTTATGTGGTGTATGTCTATGACATGTGAAGTTTATATACCACTCCAGAAAAATAAGTGTAAGTGATCAATACATGTAGGTCCTCAGTTCCTGCAGCTGAATGTTAAGAAGCCCCTATTTATTTATTGAAGTCTTGTAAAAATCAAAACCCACATATATTTATGTCTAAGGATGTTCGTTCCTCATGTTTTTGAGTTTTTGCCAGATATTCAGAATCCTCTGGCTTTATCCATGATATTCTGACATTAAAAAAAATCCCAATAATCTCTACTTTTCTTTTCATAATTTTATTTTGAATAGATATATAAATATAAAATAATTTATCTATAAATACTAACTTTAGTTCTCTTTCATACTGGTGAAGTAAATCAGAGACATTATATATGATGTCTCTGAGTCAGTCTGAGTAAAATTGAGAATGGAAATGGGGAATATGTCAAAGAGACAACAACCCAACAAAGAGCAGATAACAGCCGAAGGCCATCAATGGGTCTTTAACGAAGCCAGAAAATCCCGCACCCCAAGGTTGGCCTCAGCTGGCCCCTCCATAATAATGTGTACTAATTGAGTAATTCAGTGAAAATGGACGTCACACTTAACTCCAAAACATATAAATGAACTAAAATTTAAAAACATACAAGACTAACAAAGGTAAGAGGCTCCTGACTTCGGAGAGGCAAAAAAATGCGGTGGGGTTAAACATGTTTTGTGAGATCTCACCCCTCCCCCTCTAGCCAATGTAGAATAAAGAAACACACAGCAATACGCACAGTAAAATTCAGTTTAAAACTTAAAAAAAGATATTTATTTTTTACAGAGATTAAATTATATACAAAATGCTAGTGCCTGTGGTAATTTCTTTCAAAAGTTGGGTATTACTATTAGTGTGATCATTTGGTCTTCATGATTAACTCATAAAAATCATACGGCCCAGGCATGTATAAATGTTGTCAGGACAGTAAAATTTTAATGAAAAAGGACTCACAAGTCACAAACCATAGGCCCTAAATGATTTAAATTTAAAGGAATTTAAAAGTTTATGACGGGTTTTTCCAATTTTCAGGCAGTCAAGTGTTTCATGAAGACTGTATTTGTTCAGGGAATGGTACGTTTTAATTAGCTATTGTACACAAACCTTCATAACATGGTTGTTAAATAAAATATACCTGTTATATCTTCAAGAGTATCTGCATTACTTTCCATTGCCACTACTGTGGTGTCAAAATTGGTGTCGTCCAAATGTGTCGTCTGAGACGCTCGTTTCTGTGAACCGTACGGGACAATTCTCTGAGAGACGAAGCACATCAATTCTCATTTAAACTGAATTTACCGATTGTATTTCATGTTTAAATATTCAAATAATTAATTAAATTAAATATTTAAATTATATCAAGCTACCAGCTGGATAACAAAACAATGTTAATAAATTGATTCCGCTTCTGGGTTACACACCGATTCCGAAATTTTTCAAGGTGTGCGGTATTTCCCGCGGTTATTTTTGGCAAGCAATCTCCTTGTCAATGTGATAACAGTCCATATGAAACTGACAGACTGAGAGTCTGTGTACTGTACAATGACGGAACTGTAGAAGTAAAAAAAAGTTCTGTCTCGGGTCTACTGTACTGTGTACTTGTGACTTTAAAAATAGGCAGTGTCTGCGCGTACCCGCATGCGGGTACGAATAGTCAAATTGCCATTCAGAATGTAAAAAACAATTGATTTTTCCATTGCCGACAATAGTAATGTTTCTTGCTGTACTGATTTTATTGAGTTGATTTTTATTATAAAACCTTTTTTAAAATAAAGAATATTTATTGTGTTAACATTTTTTATAAAAAAAATGATATGGTCGCGTTGCTTTTCTAGGTGTAATTTACAGTTGTCAAGGGTGACCGTCAATCTCGCACAAAAATAACAGTAAAATTTATGCATTCAACAACAGGAAGAAAAAAAATTCTCAACTACTTCTGAAGGAGGAATCAAATTTTATTTTGTCATTGCTACAACCAAGAATCCATAAGGTTTCAGGAAAAAAAATTATTATTTGTGGCATACTCCACCCAATCAAAATCAGCCATGTTTTTGTTTCTGAATACCATGTTATGCTCATTTTCGACTGGTCCCAAAAGAGCTAATGGTAGATTGTAACCTATAGAATCAAAAAAAGGGCCCAGAATCTAGCAAATTTTAGGCCAAATGAATATTTGTTATATCTAGTAATGGAAAAGTTGTAGGCAAAAGATGTCGATCACTTACAAGCGAAGAAAAAAGAAAAGTTCAACATGTACCCCAAATGACGGCAGAGGAAATGTGAAGCTGAGAGTTGATTTTTTTGCCAAATAAAACTTATTTATTTTCTTATTAAATATACAAAAGCAATAAGTCTGTGTGTTTTATCAATAGACTAGTGGATATGACTGTCACATAAAACACTAACATCAGCTGTCAGATAATTGGGGTAGATTCTACCCAAGAATTGAAAACTACAGGAAAAAATGACAATTTTCTTAATTTTGAAGTATTAAAAGTTTAATCTGAAACAACTTAATGCACTAAAAAACCATAACCTTACACCAAACAGATAAGACAGTGACCAGAGATGATGAATCAATTATCTTATCATATCTGTCACTGCAGCTGTAAGAATTAAAAATTTATATCTGTACTGCTATCTCTCTCTGTTTATGAGAATTTTTTATGAGAGTTCTGTTTGGTGCCTTTCTTTCAAATTAAAGATGCAAATTTTAACCAAATTTCCAATATAAAAGTAAAGACAGAATCCCAAACTTTCACAAACTTTTTCCTTAAACAGTTACATTCACGGATTACAAATAAATTCTACATATTAAAATGACCAAGTTCAGAAAGGGAAATAATTCAGGTTTTCCAACTGGAACTGTGCCTTACAATAGACAAAGAAAAACTGTAAAACCAAGTAAAAGTGACACAACACAAACAGTTTATAAAAGACTTACCAGAAAAATGACTTCTCTTGTGCAAAATATTCCATATAAGGATACCGATACTCAATCTATAAATGACACCAAACCTGCTGTTCTGTTGCGACCAAGGGATGCTGCTCCTAAAATTAAAAAAACAATGAAATCAGCAAAGAAAAATCAAAGGTAGGTTAAATGATAATTAAAGTAATAACATAAAATATCGAAATACCAGTTAATATGAACATAGGTATTATTTAACTCTATTTTAAATTATTTTTCTGAAAGCGGATTGAAAATGCCTATCAGTTCTTTAAATCTAGAAATTTCCCTTGAAATAATATTTTGTTGTTGTCGTACCTTCTTGAATTAATAAAATATATGCTTAACTTAAAGAAAATATTGATACTTCAACCTGCTTAGCTTCATAATACCAAGAAATTCTATTTTATATTTGTGCCAAAAAAAATTGTGATCAAAGGGAGGTAATTCACAAATATTTTTAAGTACATTTAGAAACTACTGTTACAGGTAGAAAAACACTCTCTTATGGCATTCTTTTCTATTAAATTTTAGGTCTGAAGATTCATCTAATAGAACAGTAAATGTGAGACTGAATGCAATAATGTGGAACTCTGTATTTGGAGAACACCAAAGACTTCATCCCAATTGTAATGGATTTTTACAGTGGAATATGGAAAGAGAAGAAAAGTTTGGATTTGTTAATCGTGAAGAGGCAATGTGTGACAAATGCACCTATCGATCGAGAAAGTTCAAACTCTATGAAGAAGTGCAAACCAAAAAACCAGGAAGGAAGGCAGCCAAGATAAATGTATCCGCCCAAGCAGCATTAAGTCAAACACCACTTGGATATACTGGTTTGAGGAAAATAGTACTTGGCTGTAACATGCCAGCTCCATCCACTTCAGGACTACAAAAGAGGGCAAATAAAGTGCTACCTGAAATAGTAAATATAAATAAGAAAGACATGAAAGCGCGACGCAAGCAGCTGATTGAAATTAATACACTCAGAGGAAGAAAAGATCCTGGTTCTGTAAGTCTACAGGCTGACGGTGCATACAACAATGCAATATATTCCGGCATTGGAAAAACCCCATTCCAGCCTGCTACACAAGTGGTGTATTCTGTTGCAGAAGCTGAAACAGAAGATAAAAGCATTATAGGAGTTGTTTGCAAAAATAAACTTTGTTCAGTTCATCCAATCAGATCAGGTGAAAAGTGCACTTCTGCATGTAGTTCAAATTTAACATTCATGAAAAGCATAGGAGATGAGTACACATGGGCAAATGAAGCTCTGCAAGATCTTGCAAGTGATGGTATTGAAGCTAAACATTTAACAACAGATCCAGATAGCTCTGCTTATAGAGCAGCAGATGACTTGTATCTTGAAAATACAACATCTACAGAGCCAGAACATTTTCTAGATACCAGGCATTTTTTAAATAATCACAGAAAAAACATCAAGAATAATAAAGAATTGGGAGAAATAATGCCCGGCAGAACTAAAAAAGACCGTGAAAAGCTTTTGAACAATTTCGCTCTGGATTTAGCTGAGAGATGTCAGTCGGAGTTTACCCAGGCCATGGAAAAATATGGCGGTGACTTTGTCAAAGTGAAGAATAAAATCTCTTTCACCGTTGATGCCATACCTGCATGTTACACAGGCAATCATGAACTTTGCCGTAGGCATTCCTTTGTTTGCAAGGGTGGAAAAAAGTTCTGGTTGTCCAACAGAGCTTTCTTACCGAACAGTTTTAAAATCAGAAAATTGGACGAAAACTTGAATGCCATAAGAAAGTGTGTGTTATATCGTCTCAGTCCGAGCGCTTTAAAAAAGACGAGATTGAACCTAAATACTCAAAAAGTCGAGGGATTTAACAGATCACTGCGTAGATCACTACCAAAAAATGTTACCTATACAAAAAACTTTGAAGGTCGTGTCCATTCAGCTATTCATAGTGTAAATCTTGGTCCTGGTGAGTCTCTCCTAGTGATCTGTAAGCAACTTGGGGCAGAAATCAGTCCTGGGTCTGCTGCTGAAAAAGAACTTAAAGCTATACAAAAAACAGACAGAATGCAGAAAGCTTATAAAAAATCAATAAAATATAAAAAGGAGAGGTCTGATACCAGGAAACATTTGTATAAAATTTATGAAAAACATCAGGAAGAAAAGTGTTACGAGAAAAACAAGCTTATGCGGCCAGTGAAACGTACAAAAACGCAAGCCGAGGACCATCCCTATGCCAAAAAACAACGAGTTGCAGTGACAAAAAAGTGTTAATTTGTAAATAAAGCATACTTTCATATAAGACAATGTGGTTCATGACATTTTGCACATAAATTTTGCCCTTTACAATGAATACGTTCCTGGTTTGTAGCATGGGACTCAAGTTTAATATGCTCTGAATTGACACAGGTCTTATTATGGCACAAGTGACTACATTCTATGCGGTTGTTGTTTTCATCAAGTCTTGGCATATCATTGTGGCTTATTCTTTCCTTAATCATATATGCTAGTCTGTGTGCTCTTTCTTTTTTTGCACCCTCCCTTGGCCAGTTTACATTCATGACACCGTATCCTAATTTATCAACATAGCCGTCCCATGCTACACAACCATGAATATTGCCCATTTTTTTTGTTTTTTTTAGAAATCTCTCCTCTAAATCTTTTTGAAAGTCCTCCATGATGCTGACACAATCACAAAAACGTTTTAAAAGAAGTCTGATTCAGCAACTTGCTTTTCCAAAATGAAAGTGAAAGTAAATTTCATCCCAATATAGAATGTAAAAAACAATTGATTTTTCCATTGCCGACAATAGTAATGTTTCTTGCTGTACTGATTTTATTGAGTTGATTTTTATTATAAAACCTTTTTTAAAATAAAGAATATTTATTGTGTTAACATTTTTTATAAAAAAAATGATATGGTCGCGTTGCTTTTCTAGGTGTAATTTACAGTTGTCAAGGGTGACCGTCAATCTCGCACAAAAATAACAGTAAAATTTATGCATTCAACAACAGGAAGAAAAAAAATTCTCAACTACTTCTGAAGGAGGAATCAAATTTTATTTTGTCATTGCTACAACCAAGAATCCATAAGGTTTCAGGAAAAAAAATTATTATTTGTGGCATACTCCACCCAATCAAAATCAGCCATGTTTTTGTTTCTGAATACCATGTTATGCTCATTTTCGACTGGTCCCAAAAGAGCTAATGGTAGATTGTAACCTTCATAGGCTACGCGTACCCACATCCGGTTTTATAATAAAATGCCATCAGATCGGGAATGAAACGTGAAATATATACGGAATTTGTCGCAATTAGTGAATAAATTGATTAAAACTACTCAGAATTTTTATGAATATTTATATATAGGTAAGTGAACAGTTTTTCTCAGTTAATAGATATTCTTAAAATGTAAGAGAGTGATATACATGTGGGGAAGACATTTCAAAGTTATCACGAATTGGAACAATTTGTTCAGAACTATCAGTCAATTAATTTTATACAATTGTGTAAAAGAAACTCGGAGTCAATTGCAGCTGCAGAGAAAAGAAGAACTGGAAACACAAAAATTATTTCTGATAAAAAAAAAAAAGGCCGATGCCAATAATCTTCTAGATGCTTCGTTAATTAATAACAAAATATTTGACAAAAATGTAAACCTTCAGCGCATCA